GGAGAGACTACTTTTTCTGGAGATTTTAAAGAAAAATGTAGGTAGCCATTTTATCGATTTGGGACAGAGTAGGTGAAATTCTATTTGGAGACGAAGGTTGGGCTAGTATTGAACTTTCAAAATACAACGATTTTGTTTTGTTTTTTTGCTTCTTGCTAGGCAATTGGGGTTAAGTGACTTGCCCAGGGTCACACAGCTAGTATGTGTTGTGTGTCTGAGACCAGATTTGAACTCAGGTCCTCCCGACTTCAAGGCTGGAGCTCTATTCACTGTGCCACCTATCTGCCCCCCAAAATACATGATTTAAAAATAGCCCTGGACACAGAGGCTTTTAAGGATAGTGGACAGAGCAGCAGCTAGGCCTCAGACACTTACTAGCTGTGTGGCCCTAGGCAAATCACTGAACCCCCATTGCCTCAAAACCCGCCCCCAAAAACTAGTGGACAGAGCCTTCAAATATTGAGATTCAAGTACCAATTCTGCCACTGAAGAAATCCCTTGCTTTAACTGTGCATCGGTTTCCTCATTTGTGAAACAGAAATGCCCAAGTGGACTGGATTTGGAGACAGAGGACATGGTTTTGAATTCTGCTGTGCTCCTTATGACCTGTGTGACCTTGGGCAAGCTGTTTAAATTTTTGGGACTCAGTTTCCTCCTCTATAAAGTGTGAAGATGTTGGATTAAATTAGTTCTCAAAGTGTGGTCAGTGGACCCTGGAAGTCTCTGAGATGCTTTCAGGAGGTCCATGGGGTTGAAACTATTGTCATAATAATACTAAGATGTTTTGGTTTCTAATATGGTGAATATTGATAAAAATCATAAACAAAAGCTCTTTCGGGCTGGGGACCTTCAATAACATTGAAGAATATAAAGGAAGACCAGAAAGTTTGAGAACCAGTGGACTAGAGGATAGCTATGATACTTTTTAGCTCTAAATTTGTATTCCTGTTGGTTTTTTAACCTATTTTGAAAATTCGGGGAGTAATATCTGTTGACTCCTAAAAAGAGAAAAAGATTCTTCCTCTGAGCTCCTCCTCCCCCAAGCATTTTCCTCTTCCATTTTTTTTTAATGGCACCTAGCACATCCTACTGTGTTGGTGTATTATTGCTGTCCCTGCCGGCTTTTCCTTCCTAGACTAGAAACTCCTCGAGGGCAGGGAATGCTATCTCACCTCTAGAGTTATTCCCACTGCCTATTGTAGGTACCTTGTAAATGGCTGTTAAATGAATGAATGAACGGACAATGTGTAATACGACATTAAAATTCATTTGTGAGTTCTGCAGTGAGAGAGATAAAGAAAGCACATTAATTGAGGACACTATCAGCCCATATGCTCTATAATATGTTGTTCGACATAGGTAGCTGGACAAACCTCCCAGTCTGTAGGACTGAGAGAGCTATTTCTCCTTTTACCAGGAGGTGGCGCTGCAGTCAGCAAGAAAGCAAAGGGATACAGATAGAGTTGCTGCAGTTTACAATGAGCAGGATTGAAGTTGAGATTAGAATTTTACAGAGAGCTAGAAGGGACCTCAGAGGTCATTTAATCTAACCTTTTCATCTTACTGATGAGGAAACTGAAATGCAGAGAGCCTGAGAGAGACCAGTGACTTGCCCAAGGTCACACAGCTAGTTTGTGGCAGAGATAGGTCCTAGAACCCAAATCTGCCTCCTATGTTAGCATGCCTTTCATTAAACTGGGCCCTTACTAGCTGTGTGACCCTGGACAAGTCACTTAACCCTGTTTGCCTCAGGTTCCTCATATGCAAAATGATTGGGAGAAGAAAATGGCAAACCACTCCAGTATGTCTGCCAAGAAAATCCCAAATGGGGTTACGAAGAGTCGGACACAAGTAATTGACTAGACAAGTGGCCCTGCTTACCAAGGCTAATTCCTTTGCTTTGGCCCTTGATCCTGTCCTGTCTTTTACTCCTTTGATCAGCCCTCTTCTCTCCTTAATTTTGAAACTCTATTCAATGGCTCCTTCCGTAATACTTAAAAACATATCCATATAAAACTTACAATTGATCCTCTCACCCCATAAAGTCCTATTCTTTCCTTTCTCATGGCCAAAATACCTAGAAATACTCATTGCCTCTACTTTCTCACCTCCCACTCCCTCCTCAGCTCCTTGTACTTGCCTTCCCACTGCATCATTCAACTGAAACTCCTTCCAAAGTTACCAATGATCTCTTAATGGCCAAATCTGATGGTCTTTTCTCAATCCTCATCTTTTTTTTTTAACCTCTCTGCAGGATTTGTCCCTGTTGATCACCCTTTCCTCCTAGGACTAGACAATCTCTCCTACTGAGCTCTCATGGCCCTACTCTCTTGTGTTTTTCTTATTTCCCTGGTTCCTCTTTCTCAGTTCCTTTGCGGAGTCATCATTCACATTCTACCCTTTATAAATAAGTTCTGTCTTAGGTTCTCCTTCCTCTCTATCCTCTTTTACCTGGTGATCCTGTTAGTACCCATGGTTCCATTATTGATCTCTATGAAGATGATTCCTAGATTTATAGAGCAGGTTTAGAATCTCAACTAAGTTTCCTCACCAACTGTCTACTGGATGTTTCCAACTAGATATTCCATAGGCAACTCAAAGTCAACATGTCTGAAACAAAGCCCATGATATTTTCCCCAAAACCTTCCTTGCTTTCTAACTTCCTTATTTCTATGTAAGGTACCACCATCTTTCCATTCACCCAGGTTGCAACCTCAACTTGTCACTCTCACCCTCCTTGTGTCCAAACATTTGCTAAGAAGTATGGATTCTACTTCCAAGATATCTCTTTTCATTTGTCCACTTCTACAATATCCCTCACTTCTGACCCCCTCTTCCCATACACTTGATCACCACTTTAGTTCAGGACCTCATCACCTCTTCCCTGGACTGTTGCAATTGTCTTCTAATTGATTTCCCTGTCTTCAGTCTCTCACATCTCTAATCCATCTTCTGAAGAGCTGCCAAAGTGATTTTCCTAATGCACAGGTTTGACTATAAGTCCCCTGCTCAAGAGACTCAGGAGAGGTCCGTGTAGCTGCTATAAAATACAGTCTCCTCTGTTTGACTTCTAAAGACCTCCATAATCTGATTCCAGAGATCCTTTCAGGTTAACGGTATACTCTCCTTCACACGTTCTACACTCCAGCCACACTGGCCTACTTGCTGGCCCAGGTACAAGAGATTCCATCTTGAAACATCATGTCTTTGCACAGGCTGGCCCCCCACCCCCACCCCAATGCATTGGATCTACTCCCTACTCAGTGCAGCCTCCAAGAATCCTGGGCTTCCCTCCAGGCTTAGCTCCAGGGCTCCCTCCCAAGGCTCATTCTGATTCCAGCTACTGAAGACTCTGAAAAACAGGTTCTTGCCACTGAAGCCCTTGGCACCGTCAAATGATTCAACATCAGAAACGAAGAAGATTTTCTCAGTGGAAATGATATAAAGAAGAGGCACCACCATCTGCTTTGCTGAGGCACCCTAAGGACCATGGGACCTTTCCATTTGGCTTGCAGCAGAAAATTTTCATGTGTGTTGTCTGCCCCTTTTAGAATAGAGGCTCCTTGAGATCAGGGACTGTTTTATATTTCTATTTGTATCCTCAGTGCTTAGCACAGTGCTTAGCTTTGTACATAGCACATACTTCATAAATTTTACTTTCCTTCCTTTCTTCCTTTCTTTCTTCCTTCCTTCCTTCCTTCCTTTCTTCCTTCCTTCCTTCCTTCCTTCCTTCCTTCCCTCCTTCCTTCCTTCCTTCCTTCCCTCCTCCCTTCCTTCCCTCCTCTCTCTCTGTCTCTCTGTCTCTCTCTGTCTCTCTGTCTCTCTCTGTCTCTGTCTCTCTCTCCGTCTCTCTCTCTGTCTCTCTCTCTCTCTGTCTGTCTCTCTTTCTTTTCTTTCTTCCTCTCCTTCCTTCATCCAAATGACCATGAATTCATGGAGCTCTTGGTTAGCTGTCTCTGCTTTATTCTCTCTTAATCTTGGCTGAATGAATATTAGAGATGGAATGGATCAAATTATGGCCCTGTGAGCATCAAATTCTGAAGAACTACCAGAGATCCCCAGCTTGATTCCATAGCAAAGTCTCCCCATGACCATGGCAGTCAATTCTGCTGAGGAGCCAGCCTTAAGGAGTGACCGATTTGATCTAGCCCAGCAATGGATCAACTCAGCACCTGAGACACCATGTTCTGCGAGCAAGGAAGTGAGTGACTCATTCATCTGCTATGCCATACACAAAGTGGTGCAAATTCTTTTTAGTAACCACTTTAGTTTCTGGATCCACTCTCCCAAGACCCAAGAGGATGTTTAAAGGAGACAGTGTGCCCTGGTTGATGGGACAGGATTTGTTTCTACTTTTGTCCTTGCTATATTTATTCATTAAATATCCCTTTACAAAAGCTAATTTATGTAAATTGGTTAATTGCTACTGAGAATTCGTTCAGTCAAAAATGATATTGGGGTGATCAACATTGAGGGAATATAACAGTCAGGGCTTGCGAGCAACAGTATTAGAAAGATACCCACAACCCATCAGGGTCACCCTTAGAACCTCGAGGGGAGAATTATAGTAGCTGAGCTCTGAAGATTGACTTGCCCCTGGAAGTTGAAGTTAGGAGAGTGAGCCCAGAGATAATGTGTTATATATGAAAAATAGCTCATCTTCACTCTGCTAATGAGCCTGCCCTTTGCTATATAGCAAAGTCAACTTTTTTGTTCTGGACCTCAGTTTCCTTATCTCAAGAAGAAAAATGGAGTTTCTGTCTGCTTGGGAGGAGTAGCAAAATGACTTATCTCAAAGCCTCTGGAGATGCGGTTTTGGCCCCAGGACACAGTGGGGACTTTTTTTTTCCAGGACTTTGACCAATGAGACTGGGGTATGCAAATAACTTCAAAGTGTAGACTATATCAAGATTGGCTGGAGTACCCCTGATGTCACAATTGGCAGGCTCCTCTTATTCCTCCTGTGTTTCCTTTCATAGTATAGAGTAATGGGACTGGACTGAGGGAGCAGTTTATTCTAACAACCTCAATTTCCCTTCCCTCCTCAGTGTGTTGCCCTAGTTGTCCCCAGTCTTGGACCAGGTGGTGAAGAAAATAACATGGACTCCTTATACTAGCCAGATCCCATTTACAACTCCACATCTTTCTTGGATTGCTCCAAGTCATAGACCAGTTAGTGATGAAAACAACAGAGACCTCAGGTCCATGAAGGTGAACACTTTGCAAGGAAAGAAAATGATTCAGACCTGTTTACAGTCAGAAGACTTTGCCACACTAGAGACTCTTTCCCCTTCGCCTTCCCCTATAATCTGACTTGAAGAATCTGTTATAGAAAAGGGACCTGGAGTAGTTTAATTAGGTCTAGTTTCAGGGGCTGGAAGACTCATCTCAGTTTTGCCATTCAATGCTGCCTTCCAATGTACATTTTCTATAACGAATCCATAGGTTTTTAGTGATCATGGACTCCGCTAATAGCCATGTCTCAGTTTCTTCATCTCTACAATGGGTAGAATAGAACTTCTGGCTGCATAGGAAACTTAGTAAAATGACCTATGTGAAAGCCGCTGGAGAGGTGTCTTGGCATCCAGGGAATATGAGAAGCTTTCTCTCCCCCCTGCCCTCCAGGTTTTGACCAATGAGGCTGGGGTATGCAAATAGGATGAATGTGTAGATACATTAAGATTGGCTGGAGTGACTGTGACGTCACAATTGGCAGGTTCTTTCAATCCTCCTTTCCTATAGAGTGAAGAGAATGGAATTGCGGCCGGGATTCATTCTGACCCATTTGCCTTAATTTCTCTTCTCTCCTAAGTTTGTTTTTTGGTCCGTGTCTAACTGTGGACTGGCTGGTGAAGAAAACAACATGGATCCCTTCTACCAGACAGGCCCCATTTATGTGAAGGTGAATACCCTGCAAGGGAAGAAAATGGTTGAAAGCGGTCTGCAGTCGGGAGACTTTTCCCTGCCTGAGTCTCTGACCGCATGTCTCCCCCCGCAACCTGAAATGGAGAACCTGCTGCAAAAAGTGACTGGGGTCCAGAGGGACCTGGAGGATTTCAAACAGGAGACACTGCAGGCCATTCACCGACTCGAGAATGCCTACTGTGAGATGAGCAGGACTGTAGCCCAGCAGGAAGAGCAGGCAGCGAGGGTAAAGCAGCGATTGCGGGAGGAGGAGGACCGAGGCATCGTGCGGAATAAGGTCCTCACCTTCCTGCTCCCCAGGGAGAAGCAGCTGCGGGAGCACTGCCGATGGCTGGAACATGTGTTGCTAAAGAGTGGGAGTCAGGAGGGACAGGGATCTGCAAAGAAGATTTCAGGGAACTGACCTGATCTGGACTGAGCTATCCTGATGAGGTCCGGAGTGACAGAGCCACAATTACTAAGAACTCAAAGCTGCGCTGGGAAAAAAAACAAAGAAAAACACCAAACAACATCTTTAAATTCCTGTCCGATGTCTTCCCTGCCCCATCTGCCTGACACAGAAATAGTACCTTGTCCCCTAGAGTTTTTTTTTGGGGGGGGGCAGATGCAGAATAATATTAACAGTTAACTGTGATGTCTTGTTTATCTCATTATTAGCAGGGAAGGATGTGCCCATAGTCACAAACTTTCTAAATAATTTACTCCCCTCCCCCCTTTAAAAACACCAACACTTATATTTAACCATTTGGGAAGTTCTTTCTTCTCAGTTGTGGCACAGACCTCTCTTATGTTGACTGTTTCAGTCCTTTAGGAGGACCTGTGGGTCCCCCATCATGTCAGGTAGCAACCTGCTTTGTACCTTGGTAGGCAGTCCTAGAAAAACTGCTACAGCTAAAAAAATCATCTCCCTTCAGTCAACTTGGTGACGAACATCTCCAAACTGTCTTTGATTCATTTCCTTCAAGAACCTTTGAGTCCTCCACTGTTGCAGATAGCAACCCTCTGACACCTTGGTAGACAGTCACTGGAGAGCTAATGTGGTTGCAAAATTCATCTCGCCTTGGCCAACTTGGTGAAGAATATCTCTAAACTTATGCTTATTCTTGGACAGCAAGCATCCAGTTAGTTGCTAACCCCATACCGAAAACATTTGGAAAAATCTGCAAGTATTGGCAGAGCCTTCAGGACCCAGAGTCCCCTCCATAACACAAGGAGGCTTAGGAGGAGGGGACTCTTACTCATTGTAATTTTTTTTTTCTGTTTAGGCAATGGGGTTAAGTGACTTGCCCGGAGACACACAGCTAGTAAGTGTACTAACTGTAATTTAACCTTTTCCTGACAATCCAGGAAATCAACGCAAGGCTTCTAGGGCCCATTGACATATGTATATCTATGTTTATGGATACATACTATATACATACTCATATATATATATATAGAAGTGTGTATATAGAGAGAAGTATACATATATATCCACATATATGTATACATGGAAATACCTAGAAGTATATGTATATATGTATATGTATATATATCTAGATATATCTTGACCCTTTGTCCCTATACTGAATGGTCCTAGAATGCTGTGCTTTTTGAGTTCCTAGGTCTACTTTTATAATTTTTTTGTCTTTTTCCTGGCTGTCAATTGTTACTACACACTCTATCCCCTCTCCCTACACCCCACCTTTGTACCCTTTGTACTCTGAACTGGGAATCAGATAATCAGCTTGTTAGAACTATGTGGAAAGTAAGGGTGTTTAGGTTCAAAGCAAGGGTCTGAGGAGCACGCCCAGGAGTATAGGATGAGTTCCGTTGAGGGGATTAAAACTATGTAGGTAGCTTGAAGCAGAGAGAAATGAAGTGGGGAAGAGAATAAACATTTATTAAGTGCTTACTATGTACCAGGCACTGTACTAGGCCTTTTTTACAAATATTATCTCATTTGATCCTTACAATATCCTTGTGAGGTAGCTGATGTCATTATGCCCATTTTACAGTTGAGAAAATTGAGACAAAGAGAGGTTAAGTGACTTGTCCAGGGTTCCTCAGGCCAGATTTGAACTCAGATCTTCCTGATTTCAGACCCAGAGTTCATCTACCAGCTGCCTCTGAACTGAAGCCAGTGGTTTCAATTTAAAAACTTGGCTCTGCTACTTAGGACCTTGTGACCTTGGGTAATTCACTTAACTTCCCTGGGCCTTGGCTTCCTCTTCTGTCAAATGATGAGGTTCGACTAGATAACCTCAAAGGATCCTTCTAGAATGAGGTCCTATGAGCCTCATTTGACCCCTCTTTGGGGCAGAGGATAATTGAATTCTCTCACTCCTGCTTTGCAGCAACCATTGCATGACTTTACACTCACAGCCTATGTTTTAGTGATTCAAGGTCCTCTTTGACCTCAGCGGTAGTGGTGGGTTGGGTGGCTTGGGAGGGTAGTTTTGGCTATGTAGATTGAATTTCCAGCTTGCCTATGTGAAAGAAATGGTGTGTATCTAGTGCAGTTGTATATTTCTTTGTGCTCACAACTTTGCTGAAAAGAAGGGATTTTTCTCACATCACAGGGAGGGAGCCAATGGTCTAAAAACTAGATGTGGCATGTCCACAATCACTGAAAGTTGGGGCCAGAGAGGGGTGTTCAGATCACAGGTTTACTAGACTCCCTGGCTCATTGTAACAGACATTACTTACTGAAATTTCACCCTCATCCTGATATCTCAGGTAGTCATCATTATGTACCTGGCTTGTAATGCTTCCAGTGCTCATGGAAACACACACACACATGCATGTACACATATGTACATATGTATTTGCAAACATATGTACATATAAATATGTGTATACATACATACATACCTAAAACTTTGCAAAACCTTAAAGCCTCATGTTAGCGCAAGCTATTATTGATCGTTATTATTTAGTTGTTTCAGCTGTCTCTGACTCCTCGTGAGCCCATTTTGTAGTTTTCTTGGGCAAAGATAGTGGAGTGGTTTGCCATTTCTTTCTCCAGCTCGTTGAGGATACTGAGGCCAACAGAGTTAAGTGACTTGTCCAGCCAGGGTCACATAGCTAGTAAGCTTCTGAGGCCAGATTTGAACTCAGTAAGATGAATCTTTCTGACTGCAGGTCTATCAACCTATCTGCTGAGCCACCTAACTGCCCTATTATTATTGTTATTGATAGCTGTAATGCAGTTAATTGGAATTGGGTAGAGATTTGGTCAATTAGGACTTTAAGTCCTCGTGTCCTAAAACATTATAAGGTCTGCTTGGGCAGTAGCCATATTCCTATTTTATGTCTTAGAATTTCACGTATATGTGAGGAACATGCCAGAGAGGGTGAAACCAATAAGATGAAATTTAATGGGGTTTTATGTAAAGTCCTACAGATAATCCCAACAAATCAACTTCATAAATACAGGCGGTGTGGGGTGAAAAGAGAGGAAGGGAATTACTTGATAACAGTTCATGTGAAAAAGGTCTAGGCGTTCTATGTGATCACAAGCACCTCAATGTGAGTCAACCTGACTTTCAAAAAAGTTAAGTTTTCAAAAATCTCAGGCTTAATAGAAGTATAGTGTCCAAATCAAAGATGGACTTAATTTTATTGTACCCTATTGAGATAGGCAGCTAGCTGGCACAGTGGATAGAGAAAAGGACCTAGGGTCATGAAGACCTGAGTTCAAATCCAGCCTCAGACACTTACTAGCTGTATGATCCTGGGCAAGTCACTTAACCCTGGTTGCCTCAGTTTCCTCATCTATAAAATGAGGTGGAGAAGGAACAGGCAAACCACTCTAGTATCTTTGCCAAGAAAACCCCAAATGGGGTCATAAAGAGTCAGACATGACTAAACAAGACCCTGTTAAGAACAATTTGAGAGCATTGTGTTCAGTTCTAGGCATAACGTTTTAAGAAGAATATTAATGAACCAGAGCTTATCCAGAGGATAGCACAATGCAAAAATGAAAGGAGTGGTTTGAATGAATGATTCCACACTGTGAGAACAGTTAAGGAAACTTGATGACTGCTTACAAGGAGAGGATGAGAACAGATGACCATGGATGGTCTCAGTGTGAGGCCTCCATTGTCCTTAATCCAAGGGCAGGACACAGTGGGGGCGGCCTCAGACAAGCAGCCGTGTAACAGTGTTCACACTATGTGAAGACCTAAAGCCCTCGAGGGCCCAGACTTATACAGAGGTTTAGACAAAGAGACAGTATGGCACTAATAGAAGACTGCCCTATCATCCAGAGGAGAAGGTAATGGGATAATGTGGGCTATTGGGATGAGAGTATGTTCTGAATTGCCTAATAAGAAATGAAGAATGTTAGGTCTGGGACTCAGGAAACTTAACGCTAACTGGGCCATGCAAAAAAAAAAAGGCTGGGCTGGAGGGTAATGTCAGGTCTCTGGGTTTATTAGCCTTAATATACATGCATCCTTGGAGGCTGGGGCCTTACAAGCCAAAATGTTTTGGGTTTTTTTGTTTGTTTGTTTTTCCAGCTCATAGATAGTTACCAGAATGAGGAAATGGTCTATTTAGAAACTTTCTTATGAGCAACAGCCAAAAGAACGGTATATTTAGCCTACAGAAGATGAGCCAGGAGGGAAGTAGCAGGGTTCAGTTGTTTTCATTTGTGACCAGATTTGGGTTTTTCTTTCTTTTTAAAAATATTTTATTTTCCCTTCAATTACATGTAAAAATCGTATTTTTAACATTTTTTTAAAAAAAAGTTTTGAGGGGCAGCTAGGTGGCACAGTGGATAGTGCACTGGCCCTGAAATCAGGAGGACCTGAGTTCAAATTTGACCTCAGACCAAACACTTGACACTTACTAGCTATGTGACCTCAGGCAAGTCACTTAACCCTGATTGCCTCACCAAAAAAAAAAATTTTTAGGTTCCAAATGCTGTCCTTCTCTTCCTTTCCTTTTCCCTCCTTGAGACAGTAAATAATCTGATGTGTTATATGTGTGCAATCATATAAGACATATTTCCATATTAGTCATTTTGTGGAAGAAAACTTAAATCAAAAAAATGAAAGAAGGGAAAGAAAGGAGAAAATAGTATGCTTTGGTCTATATTCAGACACCATCAGTTCTTTCTCTGAAGGCAGTATTTTTCAGCATGAGTCCTTTGAGTTCACCTTAGATCATAGTATTGCTATTACTGATCAACATTTACTGTTGATCATTGTACAATATCGCTGTTACTGTGTACGTACAATGTTCACCTGGTTCTGTTCACTTCACCTTGCATCAGTTCGTGTAAGTTTTTCCAGGTTTTTCTGAAATCATCCTGCTTGTCATTTCTTATAGCATAATAATATTCCATTATAATCATATACCACAACTCATTTAGCCATTCCCCAATTGATGAAAATCCTCATTTGGGATTTTCTTGGCAAAGATACAGGAGTGATTTGCTATTTCCTTCTCTAGCTCATTTTACAGATGAGGAAACTGACGCCAACAGGGTTAAGTGACTTGCCCAGAGTCACACAGCTAGCAGTCTCTGAGGCTGGATTTGAACTCAGGAAAATGAGTCTTCCTGACTCCAGGTACAGCACTCTACCCACTGTGCAGCTGTCTTTAATTATTTGAAGGGCTGACATATTGAAGATGAAGTTGGTTGGTTGTTAAAAAGCACAGGAGCAGGCACATGGCCTTGTTTCACTCCATTGGTGACTAGGAAAGCGTGAGAGCATTGTCTATTATGCAGA